TGCAGTCCAATCAACGAAGTTTAGAGACAATAAAGAGATGCTACAAATAAAAGTTACGTACAAAGAATACTTTGTGAGATCGTGTTGAATCATTCGACCTACGTGTTTAACTTAAGCATTTGTTCATAATTGATGTCCTCTGCGATCAAGGGCGGAGCCCAAGCAAGTCCAGTGCAGGCACAAGCCTGCACTGAACTTCTGGGCTCAATCTGAAGGCCCTTTATTTTATTTTATTTTATTTTAAAAAGTAATGCCCTGAAGCCCATTAGCATTTCACCCAATACCATTCAATTCAACCCTTCACCATTTACAACGATTTCGTCGCTGCTTCCCATCTCCACTGAATCCTCAATCCGTCTCCTTCCTTCACGTCCTCCGCTTCGGCCTTCTCTTTCTCCCAGTCCCAGCGGCCGGCTCCACTCAGTTTCCGCTGCTTCCTTAGTCCTCCCGCCACTCAATTTCCATTGCCTCATCCTGTCATCCGCCTCCGCCATTCGAGTTTGGTTCGCAACTCGCCCAGTCGCCTGCTCCGTCGTGCCTCAACCGCCATCTATTCTTTGACAACAGCAGAAGAAGAAGGTGGTTAGGAATTAGGATATAGGTAAAGGCATGAAGCCTCGCGGCCCTCGCCTGCTCCGTCGTATCTCGTTTTCCCATTCTTATTTTGATTTGTGTAAATTGTAATAATGTTTGATTTTGTTTCTTTTCAACACAATGCTCTTCAATTGATTTCGCCAGACTTCAATTTACTGTCTTTCAGTTCCGGTCTCTAGACTTCTAGTTTTGATGCCTCTGTGACTGTGAGTTTAACACATTGATTTTCAATTGATTCTTGAAGTGTGAATTGCACAATTTCTGGTGGTTAGTCATTAGTGATTTGATATTGCACTGTGAAATGTGAATTGAATATAGTATTGTCTTGTGATTTTGTGAAGTGTGAATTGGAGTTAGTATTGCCCAGTGAAGAGATTTGCTTTGATTTTTTAATTTGAATTTATGCTAGAATTTTGTTGGTTTACATGGCAGTAATTGTTAGAATGTAATCTGTAAAATTCATGTTTAGATTTTTGACGTGAATTGGATTAATTAGTAATTGGATATCTAATGTTTTAATTCAGATATGAAATGAAGAGATTCTTTCGAGAAAAAACTAATGTAGACAATGTAAATGTTGATGGGGGGATGTCGAATAACCAAAAATTCGTCGTTCAGCATCGATAAATTGTGCCCACGCTGAGTTACTTTCCTGACTCTGCCCCTGTCTGTGGTTTATATGTCCATTGCAATGCACTACAAAGTTAGAGACTATTATGAGATGAAAATAAGCATAAGTTTTGACCCTCATTTTCTTATATTCATTTTTTCGCAATTTATTTTAAATGACAGGTTTCATGGAACTTACAACTTTATTAACTTTTTAATCATACATTTCATTCATTTTTATCAGCATCTATTAAAATTTTTATTTTTAGCTAAACCAAACATGGACCAAGTATTCAAGATAGAAAGTTCACATAACTAACTGTTTGTTAAGAATATATTCACTAAAAATGAAAATTTATTTTTTAGGAGTACATGTAGTTAAAAAGCAGGCAAAAATCATGAGGTCGTCTGTAAAATTATTTTATTGAAAGAATGTGTAATTGAAAATAAATTAGAAAAATATAATTTCTAAATAAATTTGTGTCAAATTAATTCTAGATATTTTCAATTGAACCCGTGAACTGTCCAAATTGTCAAAGACGGAATCTGATTTCATGGGTTTCATGTTTCAAAGTGGGAGAAACCCTTTTTGTTGCTCAAATAGAAATTCAGTTGCGTTTGGTTGCGAGTATGGGATTTATATGGAAAGAAAATTAATTCAATGTATTTTATTAATTTAACTTTCAACATAGAAAATATTATATTTGTCTATTTTTTATTGGTGGGTAGATGAGATAGGGAAAGAAAGAGAGATTGAATTACCTGAAAAATAAAAATCACGTCTCCCTAAAAAATTTTTTTTCTTGTTTTTAAGGAAAATACAAGGTTCTTGTTACACACTAGTTTAAGTAACATTAAATGAGATGTACAATTAAATAAAATATTTAATTGAGTCTATCACATAATGTCACATAGATTGATATTGTAACACCTGTAATGTTTGATAACATTATTCTTTTCATCGACACACAATTCGAGTCATTGGCAGTACTTTAGGAATCCCATTTATAATATTCCAATGCATATTCTCTAGGGATGGCAAAAAAATCCGACAAACCCGGTACCCGCGGGGACCCGCTCCGAATGGGGAGAGGAAAACCCGCTTAAACGGGTAACGGGGCGGGGAATTATTCCCCGAGGCGGGGACAGGTAACGGGGTCCCCGCCCCGCCCCGTTAAAAAAAAAAA